AAATATAATAATGAACTGAGGACTAAAATAAAAACAGAACTAAAATAAAATTCATTAAATTAAAAATTAAATTAATTATAAAATAATAAAACTTAATAATGAAGTACAAAATAATTAAAACTGAAGATGAGAATAAAATAAACGATAAATAAGTAATAAAAGTAACTAAGTAAATTTCTCTTTCGACTTGTGGTGCGTTTTTTTGTTGCAATAACATTAGATTATTTATACAATTTCCGGGAGATAAATTAGACATCTGCAATTTGGCAACGGTCGATTTTATAATTTTAAGTTAACCGATGCATGCAGCGACTTTAATTTGTGCAACACACGCTGCTCAGAGGAGGATTGTTCTTAAAGTGTATGAATCGATCTGAGACTTTATTCCATCCTGACAGTACTGCACTCTCGTTAGAGTACGTACTCGTTTTAACAACTGCCCTACAAAGACAGAAGAGCCTTACCAAAAATGTAGCAGGTACTGGAATGGCCATTTAGTGCTTGTTGCCCATCATCAGTTGGCTACCCCCAATCCTAGGTTGTGCACCACCTGACAGTAATGCAACCTCGTTGGAGCAAGTACGAAATTTCCCACAAATACATCATAAAGTTCACGCACAGGACCTGCTTCCAGGCAAAACCTCACTTACCTTCCAGACTTATTTTTGACCTTCTGTTTCTTTTTTCTCTATTGAATGCTTCTGGAATTTAAAGCCGATCTTAAATTAACATACTCTATCAGTCCTTGTGGCCAGCGAATCTGCATAACCTTGCTTCACTTCCGATACTTTCTGCCAAGCTCAATGCTTCAGTGCCTGTCGCTACTGTCTTCATTTAGACCTATTTTATTCTATTTTAAAGGAAATATTTTGCCCTTAGATGGGTGCCACAGGTATGAGGCCTGTAAGAACGTTACTTTTTACACACTCTGTAACTACCGCAACACAACCCTGTATCCAACTTCTCATTTGTAGGAGCTAGTGGCATATGGCATGACGAGCATTCTCAGCTCCTTCTTCCTCTGCTTCCCTGCCGCCGCCTCCCTTTCTCGATCAGCCCTGACCGTGAGCATGAATGGACAGACTCAGGTTGCCGGTCTGGTTGGCGCCGCCGTTGTCCTCATAGTGGTACTTTTTGCCGGGCCGCTCTTCTACCCTGTACCAAATGTACGCCCCACTTTTTGCTGGTTTTTTTTTAGTTAACCGTTTATTTGCAGTCGCCAAGCCGTTCAGTTAAATGCCCTATTAGTTCAATCGCAGACTTTCGCCTCACAGACTGCTATTCAAAGTAGTGCGAATCAGAAAGGAATGACCCTTCCACCTGCGTGGTGGGTGCAAGGTGATGACTTGCGTGTGAAGTTATAATGTCAGCAGGCTTGTGCAGTACGTGTCATATTCTTCTTCCCCTTCCTCTGGCCCCGGTGGCAAGACCGTGCCAGTACTACCGGAGGTGGGCTTGGAGTCAGTGACTTACAGAGCTAAAGGGTTCCCTCTACACCTGCCAAACACGTACCTATACAACGCCAGGTTTTCACGAAAAGGGGGTGGCGGCTGGGTTGTCACATGCGTGAAGGTTTCCTAAAGATCCTATTAAGAAGGAGCTATTGCAGTCTGCCTCTCCGTCCTAACAGGACCGAGTCGTCCGTAAAAACGAGCGATAGATAAATAAATGTGACAGGACTAGTTCTACAAAGCGGCCGAAACAATGAGGACTAAATAGCTGAAATTTAAATAGTTGATGCACCTGACGTTCCGAGTTCACTTTCGCACCTACTAGCATATCTAGCAGCAAGTTGTCATAACAAACGACTTTTGCAGCGTCTGCCGCTCCCCTTCTCTTTTCCCTCGCTCACCCGAACCCGGTGTTAGGACAGAATCAGTACGACCGGAGGCCGTTTCGTTCTCAGTGCCTGACAGAGCCCAT